TTAAATTTTTCGATATGGCCAGTTGGTATTACAAAAAAAACAAAAAAACATATATATATTTTTTAATCCAGACAATTCACTTCTTAGTGGTTGGACTCGGTACTGCATCAGCTTGTTCACCACATACCAAAATATTTTTTTTTTTTTTTTTAAGATGATGCAAAGTTAAATTTGACAATGTAACCTTTAGTTAAAAAAACTAAGTCTAAGGAAGTTATGATCCAGAATTGAAGAAACATTTTCATTTTATAGGTTTAACAGTTTAAAGCATCAGTCGTTAACATTTGTTCCTGCGTTACTTTTACTTTTTTACTTTAGGTAGTTTTAAAACTGGTACATTTACACTTTTACTTAAGTAAAAAGTTTAAGTTGATACTCTAACTTCTCCATTTTTTCTTAACAGTAGCATTTATTTATACTTCTATTTGAGTAATAAACATTAATACGTTTGACACCTCGGAATATGGGTATAAAGAAGGATCAACCTTTTTGGGCTTTATATTCCTGTTCTGTTTCAAAGAACTATACATGCATATATATGGTAAATTACCTACATAGATAAAAATATCACAGAGCTATATTAAAGTAAAAGTAAATAAATATCATTCTAATGTCTATGAAAACAATAATTTAGAAGTTTCATGATTTTCTTGATTGGGGAGATCTATATTCATATTTGACAGAAAGAAACATTATAAAACAATAGTGTCACATTGAATCGAGAGAGCTTTGTTTTCAGTATTGTTAGTCAAACAGAGTTCCATAAAAGTACTAGCACAATCTTTTTCTTTCTTTCTGGAAAAAACTTCATGCAAGGTTTCAAAATGGAAATAACTCAGAGAGAAAAGCCTTTGGGGTCCTTCAGCTTGCAGGCCCAGAACACAGCCTTATCAGAAGATCAAATAAGTTACTTTAACCCTGGACATGTTTATTTGCCTATTATTTAACCAGAATTAGCATTTTGACATGTAGTTCTCACTCTCCAGACAGCTTAAGATCATTCTGTGAAAAGAAGAATCATGTGGTTTACAGTAAAGTTATATTTATTATAATTACAATCAATTAATGGATCATTTTAGAGCTTCCCAATGAAGTATACTTTGAAATGTATTCACAGATGTAAGATCTGCCTTACAAAGTAATGTCACATCACTGTGATGATCATTTGAATGGTAAAATAGCTGCTGAAGAAAACATAATTTGTGATTACTTCCTAATGGGTTGTCTTCCCATAAAACTTCTTGTCTAGAAAACCTTAAATCATACAATCTTCTTAGTAAAAAATCTCCTTTGCAATAAATTATAGGTTTGTACTTTCAGGTTCCTTCAGTTGGAACTCCAGTTTCATTAATTGTATCCATAGGTATCATAAAAATAGTTATAGACCCAATAGATCAATGTTCTATTTATTCCCAAGAGAAAGTGAACTACAAATGCTTCTATTTTGCAAACAAAATACATCAATAGCTGTTTTCCTAAATTCTTTCAGCAAAACATATTTTATGTTCTTTATACTGGCCTAGTGGGTTAGAGCAGTGCTCCTGTGCTCTGAGAAGGTTGCAAATTCTTGGTTACTGTTATTCATTCACATTTACAACAAGGGGAGCGATGTATTGTGAATGACGCATTCCAAAGGAGAAACTGGGAGCTTTTGCTCTTGTAAAGGTAACCTAGAAAGAAAAAGATACATTTTACATTAGATACATAGATAGATAGATAGATAGATAGATAGATAGATAGATAGATAGATAGATAGATAGATAGATAGATAGATAGATAGATAGATAGAAAATGTTTTTTTTTTGTTTTTTTTTTTATAAAGTTAAACTTTCTTACCCTCTCTGGAAAATATGCTCCTGGGCCTGGTTTCTGTGTGTTGCCCTCAGGAACAAAGTTGCGGCCCTTTATGCTGTATTGTGGAGGTTTCTGCCTATAAATGCTTGGATCAACAACTTTATAAGCAGCAGGGCCCGGCGTCTGGAGAACAGAGAGAAATTAGGACTTCAAGTATGGTTTTTATTTTGCTACAGTGACCAAGTATCCATTTTAAACCTTATTAGGGTCTTCATTAAAGCTTGTGGTTTTACTGCGGCCTTGAAGTGTGTAGTTGGGTGCCGAAGGTGCAACTACAGTTTTACAGCCCAGCATGGGTGGCAGCGTGTAGGCGTCTGGACCTGCAGTATTAGTTATATATAGTTTATTTGTATGCTTCCTATGGTGTTTTCTACTTAAAGTTAAAACCATAATTTAAATATATCCTACCTGGTGTTTGGGAGTTACTACGGTCTTTTCTTCTCCCACTCAGAGAATAAGCAGGAGCTGAACGGGTGGTTATCTTTCCAGAACGCTCTGGGGAATATTGGCCTGTAAGGCTCCAAAATAAGTTGAAAAAAGACCCAACTGACACGTTAACATGTTGTAAATTGATATATTCAGTACTCCAAAATAAGTTAAAAAAAGACCCAACTGACACGTTAACATGTTGTAAATTGATATATTCAGTACTCATTATATCTGAAATTACATCTTAAACTTGCTCTGCTGACCTGGTCCTGGTACTATTGACAGTTGTAGCTGCTTTGGTCGACCGAGAAGACTAAACGCAGGTGTTCCACTTTTGCCCTTCCTGGTAATATTTTGGGGGATTTGATATCTTGGTCCAGGAGAGCAGTTTGTGATCACTTCCTCACGCCGAGCACCAAAGGAGAACATGGGTGCTTTATATTTGGTAGGATCATGTTGAGAAGCACCTTTACGGACAAAAGACAGAGCGTGTTAACTTTTAATAACTCAATCGTATCTGAGTTGATAAAATAAATAATGTTACTCTCACCTATGAGCCCTGGAAGGGCATATTTGGGCCCTGGACTCCCATAGAGAGCAGCTATAGGCCCCCTTGGTCTGTGGGGCCTCCAAGATCCAACCCAAAGCTCATCATTAGAGTTTGCTTTGAGAAAGGAGATTAACAATCAATCTGTAATTTTCTTTATCAGCTCTTCTCCAAATATTTCCCCCTGACAAATCAGTTTTCTATTTTAGATATCATCTTTTAATTGAAAATAGTGTTTAAATAATGCTGCATCATCTTACTCAATTCTTTTTTTTAATTTGGGGATATGAGAGCTTTCAGGCGTAGGATTATAGCCTGACGTAGTCCGACTCAATTCTAGTCAGAATATGAGTCTGATACTGCTCCATAGAGCTGTGATTATGGGGCGTGTTTTGAACGAACCAGGAAAAAAATGCCTCTGCACTCAATTGGATAGACCTACAACCAATAAGAGCAACGGAGTGCGTGACGT